ATATATATATATATATATATATATATATATATATATATATATATATAACTCTTGTCTTCACATTCTGATGTGTTTGCATGAAAAATTGTGGTTTTCTTATCTAATCTTTCCTGGAGCATCTGAAATGAGACACACATTCAGTATAATCATTTCTGTTATTCACATCTGGCCGCTCGGTCCAGTTCTCACTGAGGAAGTCTCCAGACAGGCCTCCTGTCAGCACCTCCTCTCTCCTCAAAGCCAGATCCATCTGTTTGCTCTCAGTGTGAACAGCTGAGCGGACAGTAAGCTCTGCCCCACAGCAGCACTCTGCCGTGTCTCTCCCAGTTGACGTGTGTTGGTTTCTGATTGGAACAGACACGTGCATCCTGCGGGACAGAAACATCACCTCCATCAAGAACTCTACTTTCTGTCTGTCCGAGAACGCCGTGGGAAACCTGACGAAGCTGATAAACATGACCGTGGACAGCAACAAGACCTACGTCAGCCCCAGCGAGGAGTACTTCAAGTGAGTGTATGAGCTTCTGGCTGATGAAAAAACGCCTTTTAAAGTAGTATGAGGAACACAAAGTAGACCTGTACAGTTTGGTTTATATGTCTAATTTACATTGTTCTTTATATGTCCACAGATGAGACATTAAACCAAAAATATTTTCAGTTACTCTGTTTTGATCTAGAGGAGGACCTGTAAATCTTTGAATGCAACACACACACAAAGAAAATCCCCGAAACTAGAGTTTTATAAAAGTTTCCCCTGTCAATGTTCTGCAAAACATTTCCTAGAAGCGCTCTTCTCTTTAAACAAGTGCGTAATTCACCATTGTAGTAAAAGTATTACCGATCATTTCTGTTAAAACGCACAAATATTACAACTGCAACTCAACAAAATACAAAACTGCAAGATATAATAACGCAACGATCTGCAAAAAGAATAAAGATGAATAGGTTGATTTGTGTTGAAATAATCTTACTGCCCTATTGCGTTATGTTTAAGTTTACCGAGATGTGTTTTCAGGCTGAGTTTGGCTGTTTGAATCACACCTGCAGGTACAATGTGTTGCACATCTCTAAAGGAATCGAATACCCAGGAGACATCCGCTGGCCTCTGGCAGGCTGTCTGCTCTTGGCCTGGTTCATCGTCTACTGCTCTTTAGCAAAAGGAATCAAGTCATCAGGGAAGGTAACAGCACGCACAAAAACTCCTCTTCTGCTTTTTGCACCTTTTTTGCACCTTTTTTGTTGCCAGCTGTCGAAGAAACAACCTGTGGGGGGGGCTTCCCTAACCCTTCACAGATGAAAGTGGCCCCTAGTGATGAAATGTGGCACATTTAGGAAGTGAGCCCTCAGCAAGGGAAAGCACTCATGTTTAGATTGGACAGCCCTTGATGTTACCAAGGGTTTGCTTCTCACAGCTCGTTGTATTTCGAATCGACCTCTCAGAGAGTAAAATGCCCAGATCCCGTCGCTCTCTTTGAATTTGATCTTTTATATATAATTTATGTGGACCAACTTGGTATTGATTTGTTGTCGGCCTTTGAGTCGCTAACCTTTGTTACTTGATGGTACAGTGTGTAGGATTTGGTGGCATCCTGTGGAGAAGTTGCAGATTTCAACCAGCTGAAACTTCTCCCGTGGGCCAAGCGTGAAAACGTGACTGGTCCTATGTAGAGTGTTTGGTTTGTCCGTTCTAGGCTACTGTAGAAACATGGTGGCCGGTTCCGTGAAGAGGACCCGCTCCGTATGTAGATATAAACGGCTCGTAGTTAATGACACCACAACGATTCTTATTTTTAGGTAATTAAACACTAGCATACACACATAACACACATTTCTGCCAATAGATCTCCCTAAATGCTCCACACTGTTCCTTTAAAGTTGTTCAAGGCCTGAAATTAATTATCTTTCAAATAAGAAGCTAACAAAACAACACCTAAATACTTTCGATAGTGGTTTGTAGAAAATGTGTGGATCTATTTTCCTCTCTTGAAGGAGGACAGGCAACATGCAGAGGAAACGTTTGACAGTTCATTCAGATTCTTGTGTAATGACGCCCTCTGCTGGAGGTAGAGGTGACACACACTGTGGCAACTTTTAGAGACCTCAGTTTGCACAGTTAAAACTGCACCAATAGATTTGCATGTTTCATCATGGGAAAACATGGACATCTTCAATTTTATGAGGTGGTGAGTGAGTTACTTATTACATTACAATGCAGCTGCAGAAATGCTTTGACAACTCTTATTGTTGGTGCATCAGGAAGACGCTTAATTATGATCATAATCTATATGTGGGGAAAATTAAGGTTTAAGTCTGTTCTGACTGTACCAAAAATTGAATATGGCATACATTGCAGAAAGGGAGAAATAAGAATTCAATATGAAATTAAGTAAATCAGACACAAAAGTACACAAAATAAATGAATGTGTGAGATGACAGAGTTGACACACTGCTACGTGACTTTACACTGAATGCTCTCTCATAATAATCAGAAGCAGCTCTCTCCACAGCTGCTTCTTTTCAGAACCTCTGATTTCCAGTAATTCTCCTCCTCTCTCTCTCTTTCTTATTTGGTCTCCTCTCTGCTCAGGTGGTGTATTTCACAGCCACGTTTCCCTACGTGGTGCTGGTCATCCTGCTCATCAGAGGGGTAACCCTCCCTGGTGCCTTCGACGGCATCCTCTATTTTATCACACCGAAGTGGGAGAAGCTGAGCGATGCAAAGGTACCCGACGCCCACGCGTTTAATTCACCCGTGATGTGCGCTTTGCTCCGTCCTTTCCTGCTCTTGACCTGCAGCTCTCCCCCCCTCCTCTGTCAGGTGTGGAAAGACGCAGCCACTCAGATCTTCTTCTCTCTGTCGGCGTCTTGGGGAGGCCTCATCACTCTCTCTTCCTACAATAAGTTCCACAATAACTGCTACAGGTAAACACACAAAAGGTAAACCATGCTTCTGGCAGACACATTCAAACTGTCTCCATAGACACTGTATCTGTCCTGTACGTCTGATAGAAATGTCAATAATAAATGTCACTCTTTGCAGCCTGCAGTTCAGTGTTTCTGTCATTTCCTCTCACCTGAAGCATTCCCCCGCTGAAATATTGTTGTGTTTTATTTATCACACATCCCTCACTCAGTTCAAAACATATATTAAAGGTACTTTTTATTGTAAACACCTGAACGCACAAAACATCTCTCTTGTGTGCTGAAAACAGATTTGAAAATGAACAAATTTAAAGAAAATATTTTGTAGAAATATATTTCTTTCATGTGAACACAACTCAGCAAATGAAAAAGATGCATGAGATCATTTTAGATATTTATATACACACACATAATTATCTTTATATGTGTGCATATTTTCTGCAAAGTTTTGCTATGAAAATACCTTCAATAAAGGTGTACACCTTCTGTAAATTCCCCACAGCTTTTAGAGGTCTCTATGTGCAACATATATTCCTGCCACCAGATGGCGCCATTGTGCCATCACTTGTTATATGTATGATTTCAGTTACTCAAGCAGATTTGTGCTTATTCGGCTTCTGTTTCTCTCTTTCCTCTTTCTCCCTGCAGTGATACTATTATTGTGACATGTACAAACAGTGCCACCAGTATATTTGCTGGGTTTGTCATCTTCTCGGTCATTGGTTTCATGGCACATGAGTTGAAAGTGCCGATAGAGCAGGTGGCAGATGAAGGTAAGACACCAAAGCGGCAGGCAGCAGCCGCTGCTCACTGAAACACGCCTGAAAGTTTGACCTCATGATCTGCTGTGGAGAATGTGTGTGTGTGCATCGTCATTTACGTGTATGTGTGTGTGTGTGTGTGTGTGTGTGTGTGTCAGGTCCAGGCATAGCGTTCGTGGTGTATCCGGAGGCTCTGACCAGACTTCCCCTGTCTCCTTTCTGGGCGATCATCTTCTTCCTCATGCTCCTGACTCTTGGCCTGGATACCATGGTAACCACTGCTCCCTCAATCTGTATGTGTGTGTGTGTGTGTGTGTGTGTTTGTGTGTGTGTGCGCGTGTGTGTGCGTGCTGTTTTATGTCTATAATTAAGTGGCTCCTATGTCCTTATAATAAAGATGAGGAAAATCTTCCAAAGGATAACTAACAGTGCCAGCTTTAAAGACACAATCTGACATTTAGGAATTAAAAGCGTGTATGGAAACATTCAACATCACTGTAAAGACACCTGTTTGTCATCTGAGCCAGATTGAAACTAGGGCAGGTAATCAATTTTAAAAGCATTTTAAAAAATATATATAAAATTTCTCTTTACATCCCGACAGCAATCAATTAATCAAAGGCTGTGACAAAAAAAGACACAAATCTGTCTGTCGCAGCACTGTAACAAGCCCGTCCAATCAGTTCCTGCCTGCACGCACTCTGTTTTTCATTTATTTACATTATTTATTTGTGTTGTTAGCTGCCAAGCTAGCCACTAGTCCATCCAAACATCAGTTGGGTTTTGTTCATGGTAGCTTGAAAGCTAATTATATACAGTACAGTATAGTTAATATGTGCAGTGGCTGTTTGTCAAGAAATAGCTTGTGTGCTAACGCTAACCGTTCAGAAATCCACAATGTCTTCTTTCAACACGCTAATAGAACAAGACAGATGTTGAGATTAGAGATGTTGGAAGTTGTGTTCTTTTACTTTTGAATGTAGCTAAGCGAGCAGGTAACTTCTTCTGCTTTTAATATTCGTTCTAAGCTCGGTGAAAAACCAAACGTGCTTCTTAAAATGGTGACTTTTATTGGCGACTTGGTGGCCTTGTCAATCATACGACCCACATTTAGAAAGAAGATGCAGAGAAACACGAGCTACTTTAGCTGCTAAATGTTCCACTTTACACTTTAGCATCTAGTTGCTAAATTAGTTTGGTTCTGTTGTTTGTTGCTGGACAGGAAGTGTACAGTTGGTCTATCAGGACCTGATCAATACATAAAAAAACAAGAAAATCAGCTGAGACAGACACGTTCTATTGCTGTAAAAACAAAATATTGGGTTGAGAGAGGCTAACAATTGGAGCTGCAGAGTTGGGGATAATTCTCTCTTGGTTTGTCACAACAAATTCAGATTATGCATGTTGATGCGATTCAATTTCAATATCAATATCGTTAAATTAAAAGTAATGAAAATGGTCCTTTAGTTCATATTTTTTTAAAGCATTTGTAAATTCATTTTTTGGGTGTCGGTTTGTGAGAAAAGACAGTTTAACTAGTGGCTGCAACTCCAAACAGTCTGCTGGTTGAGGATCTCTTTAGTTTCATAACATCAGCAACCTTTATGTCAGAGACAAGAGTTTCTTAAGTAAACACTCAACTTTGGCAGCGGCATCCAGCTATGTTTAAAAGCTGCACACATTGACCTAATTAACATAATTACCCATACACACCACCCACTGGGACTGATTTCAGCTGAAGTGCTGGAGCTCTCCGGGTACTTGAGCAGAAGGGGGTCTGTGTGATTGGAGTGAGCGAAATTAAGTTGACCTTAAAGTCAACAACACTGACGTAAATCTAAGTTTAAATACAATTAAAGTACTTGCGTTTTTTAGTCAACATTTTTCCCTATTTTCTGACATCGTGTAGACTAAATAATAAAAACGGCTTTAGCCAGTTTAAGGTGAATGTACACTAATGAAAACACAAATTAATATAATATTCCATTTCAGCTAATAGAGCCCAGAAAATGCTACACACTGGCCCTTTAAATGGTACATTACGAAACTCAATATACAATTAATTTAGATTCCTTATCTTGTCTTTCTATTATTAATCAATAATTGCATTTTAAAAAGGAATCACAAAATGTTTATTTCCCAAAGGATTACTGTTTGCTATCTTAATTTTTTTCTTTTGGAAAATTGATTGAAAACCATAATTTTATACGCTTTTAAAACTGCACTAACTAGTTTTTTTTTATATTAACAATGGATCAAATGCGTATTTGTAATGTGAAAGATTTCCTCAGTGAATTACCACCCAACTCTGCTCCTCCCTTCAGCTCTGAAGAGCGTTTTAGTGTCTTTCAGCTAACTGTTTGTTTTTTTCCTCCAAAGCCTCATCATCTGTGTTTTGGGGCTCAGGGGAAAGAGCAAGTTTTTCTTTCATCACAAAGTTGTTGCTTCGAACCCCTTCTTTTCCGTTCCACATATCGAAGTGTGACACTTAACCCCAACTTGCTCCCTCTTTACAGCAGCCCACTGCTCCTAAAAAATGCTGAGTATGTGTTAAATACAGATATCAAATTAGATGTTTTTATAAGATGATTGTAATAAACATTACATTTATTTTATTATTCTTTTTTTCAGCAGCATGCGGGCTGTAATCAGATAAACCCACTGTACACTACCTGCTCAAGACCAAACAGCAAACAAACAAAGTTATCAATTAGCTAATGAATAACATTTAGCTTCCAAAGAGCCACATATTTCCCTCAGGGGTTGATGGGGACCACATTGGAGCAATAAGAGAGTGAATATTGAACCTAATCCATGTCTCTAAATGAGAAATAATGTTGCTTTGTGGCTCCTGGATTTGCAAATTTGTTTGTCACGATAATTAGATATTGTGATATTTGTTATTTATGCTCCGCTACACTTCTAAGTTAAACAACTGTAAATGTGTCGGTTACTTCACTGATTGATTCCCGATGTAACTTCAGTGAACAAACACTTCAGTCTCCGGGATGTTTTCAAAGTCCAGACCAGCTCCAGATACAATCCTGGGCAAAGAGTTCCAGATAAAACACCAACTCCTTTAAGTGCACCGCGATGCTCCTGGGCCGAGCGGAGGAGCAGAGGGCACAGCGGCGCATTAAGACTCAAGTCAACAGTAATAGTAATGATGATGTTACTTTGCCTTGGCAGCGGGCAGCTCCAAGGGGAGGGCTGGTGGTGTTGTTGAAGAAAGGAGCTCGACGGTAATAGGCTCGGGATGTTGATGGGAAATTAGTTTTGGGAGCTCAGGAGGAAGTGGAGGAACGGAGGGGAGGCAACGGGTTTCTACAGTACGCACACACATACACAAACTATACCAACCTCCCGCAATTTTCCTGATTATATATTCATCCACTGCTGTCCTCTGGGTTCTGAGCCCATTTTACCATCATGTTACGTTTGCTAATGAAATCTGCTCCTCCTCGGGATTAGGATAATGTTCTTTATTTGTTTTGGAAATAAATGAAATTACGGTAAAATAATGCTTATATTGAATAAATCGAAGACGAACGGCTCACAACACTGGATACTGAATTTCTACAGCGGCACCTGCTCTGATTCAAATGAGGCAAACCTGCTGACGGGAGGCTTTTCAGTTGAAACGCTGCTGCACACGGGGCACTTTTCAGTAATTCTGCATTGGAGACAGCCAATCAGGATCTGCAGAACTGTTTTTTTTGTTTGCTCAAACATATGATTAAACATGGAGAAATCGACTTTTTCCCCTTCCTTATCCCCTCTTCTCTTTTTCTTCCCTTTCTCTCTTCTTCCTCCCGCTCATCTCCATCCCCAGTTTGCCACCATTGAGACCATCGTAACCTCCGTGTCAGACGAATTCCCCAAATACTTGAGGAAACACAAACCCGTCTTCACCCTGGTCTGCTGCTTCTGCTTCTTCTTCCTGGGCTTTCCCATGATCACAGAGGTACGACACAATAACACACATCTATGACACTTTTTGAGCGTCCTGCTGCGACCCTGTCTTTGAATAAGCCAACAGGTTTCTGCATGTAAAGCGAAGCTGCGGCCCTCAGAGGGACAGGCTCAGTGAGTGGAACAAGAGAGGCTGAGTCTTATTAAAATCTCCCCAGACAGCTTCAGAGGGCAAAATCCAGCCTAAAGCTGGATTCATACATGTCGTTTCTTTTGATCTGGTACAAGTCTGTGTGAAAGTTATGGCCATGGACAAGTCAGAGGGGAGGAGGGTAGGGGTGTCGTTGTAAGATGAAGCCTTGCATTGTTTTTGGTAACACTTTGTTTGTGTGTTATTGACAGAGTGGGATGTTCATGCTGCAGTTGGTGGACACATTCGCAGCCTCCTACTCTTTGATGATCATTGCGATCTGCGAGCTGGTGGGGATTTCCTACCTCTATGGTGAGTAAAGCTGCTCCTGCTTCATCTCAAAACTGAAAGTCTGAAGCCCAGCTAGTGGCCACTCGAGGGTGTAATGTTAGTGTTACATCCCATAATGTGGAAATGAACAAACGGCGTTCTGACAGTTTTGTTGTTGTCTCTTTGTAACAAGAGTAAAACGCATTAGGATTCATACTGAGGATATTTACACCAAATTGATGCTGATCTGGTTAGTTTTTGTCAACATATCTTGTTATGGAGCTAAAAGTTGGAGGGATTGACTGAACGATCCTTAGCATCGGTTGTTTGCAGGTCAAAATAACAAATATCAGATAACCTCGATCACACTTTTTTGATTATGTCCCTTAAGAAAACTTTTTCCGTTTTGAAGATACAATTCTTTATTTAGATTAGAAGCAGTGACCTATCTAACATTTGCAGCGTGATAGTTAGACCCTTGAAGCCCGGTGAATGTCTTTCAAACCTTCTTGACAAAGCCCCTCCAGAAGACACTTTAGAACTGTTTTCACAGACTGCATAGTCCTCCTTATAACTACTGAACTCCCTTCGACATGTACATTCAGTGGAGTGACTCTTTGACGATTTCCTAAACCTAAAGTAATTTCATCAGTCAAACTGCTGGCTTTGGTGTCTTGACTTTGTCTAGGGCCCAATCCCAGTGCTTCCACTGGTAACCCCGTGTTTAACGTTACATTGCCGTAAAATGTGGGTATTTCCCTTTGGCAAAGTCTGCAGAAATGCGGATTTACGGAAAGGGTTCATAAAGAGCTCAAAATGTCTGCGAGACAGCCCTCAAACACTCGATGATTTGACAGTGGGACAGCCCTAAACCCTCACGGACCTATGGGAGCGCGCCTTTAATATCCGTGGGTCCGTGAGTGTGGAGATTGGGATTGGGCCTATGTGTAAAAGGTACAACGTGTTATTCCAGCCGTGACCACTAGGGGTCTCTGTTGTAATGTATAAGTCACACAATCACGTGCGTACACACACACACCTAAAAACACACATGCAGGCAGAGTGCTCAGGTGTGTGTCAGAAAGGCCGTTACCAAGCAGCCAAGCGAACGGCTCTCCTCCAGTTTGTCAGAGCATCAGTTCGGGTGACATATTGAAATGATTGTGTGACTCTGCCTCTTCATGTCACTCAGTGTTATCCGTCAATAAAGTCAGAGAGGAATGAAGCCATCTGCTCCCGGGCTTTTTCTCAGTCACGACAGAAACCGATACTCTCTCTCTCTCGCTCGCTCTCTCTCCCTCCCTCCAGTCCTTTTTAATGAACCTTATTAAACCCAGGTCACTCTCTGTACATCCTCAGTCTGACTACCTCCCATGTTCTTTTATTTCATTTCTCTTCTGTTTTCTTTTTGTCTCTGCAGGCCTGCAGAGGTTCTGTGAGGACATTGAAATGATGCTTGGTTTCCAGCCAAACCGATTCTGGAGAATCTGCTGGGCCTTTGTGACTCCAACCATTCTGACGGTACGTTTCTTTTTGCTCATCTCATTCTGTCTCAGACACACACACACACGCACACACACAGACAAACACTCACAAAAACACATATTGTAAAGTCAAGACAATTTTATTTATATCGGCCTATATAACAAATCACACATTTGCCTCAGGGGGCTTTACAATCGCTACAGCACACGACACCCTCTGTCTTTTTCGACCCTCGCTTCGACATGTGCGGCCTAAAATGTTTCCATTTTCACTGCCGCCTTTCAAGTCCATTGATTTGCAGTCGGAACGGAACAGAGGAGAAATTGCCCCTGCTGCACAAAAAAATGGAAAATGATTTCTTCCTTCCAATTCCTGTCACGTCACCAAGTCTGGAGTTGTTTTTGTTTTTCAAAAGGGTGCCTTGCCAAATAGTTGGTGTGATGTCAGTTCAGCTGCCGTTTCTAGAGAAACTGTGTATGCTGCGTATTAGAGTCTGTACACTCTAATGCGAAGGGGTTTAGCAGCATTCATGTTAGAAATTGTAATGGAATCCACTGTAGCTCTAAAGCAGAGGTGATGATGACAAATGGAGCAGCAGTCGGGCCGCTGGTCATCTTGCTGCTCTCTCTCTCTCTCTCTCTCTCTCTCTCTCTCTCTCTCTCTCTCTC